TGGTATAAAATTAGATGCTAAAATTGTTAGTTTGCAGTCTGGACTATTTCAAAATTCTTTCTTGTTGCACTTATATTGTGGCTTCTTCTACCATGCACTTTGCAGAGAAACACCAGTCACCAAAGTCACATCAAAAACAGGGTTAAGGGCAAGGTGCATAACCATTTCACCTAAGGTGACACAGATGTATCAAGGTCAAGCTCAGTTCTTCACCCCACAACCATGCAGCTAGATCTTTACTCTTTAAAGTATTAACCATATTCTTTTCACTTAACAGTCATGAAAATCTTGCTGCATATGTTTTTTGGATGGCTAACAAAGGGAGAAACTACAGCTGTAAAAAGAATGAGATTCTAAAATGAATTTGAGACTTTTTCACAGAAACCTCCTCAGTAACACAATGTCAGACAAATGTTTGCAATGTATTGTTCACTGCCTTTTTTGGTATTTGGAGAAAACACACCCTAATTTGTAATGTTCCTGCTAATTTCTATTTCTGAGAATTCTTATTAACAGCAGGTCATTACCAGAGCAGCATAATGAAAATGAGGCAATGTTGATAATATAGGCAAGAATGACCAAGAAAGGTTAACTCTTGAGAATGCAGTATTTCAAATGGAAAATTTCCATAATACATAATGTTAGAGGGTAAAAACTGAGAAGTTATTCAATTCAAAGAGGAGGTGAATAGAAAAATGAAAGAACCTGACCCTACCATTCTGCCTCTTCTCTCACTGCTAGGATCTTGTTCATAGTCAGAAAAGCAGAATTAGAAAAAAATTAGTTAAACCTATCCTGAAATTGGAATACATTGACTAAATGTATGCCTTTCTAGAAGACCTCAGTAAAAAGCTGTAAATGTTGATTTAAATTTATTTTAATGGTAATTTAAATTTTCTGCAAAAATATATCACCAGCAATGGTTTTTTGAAAAAAAATCATAAAAAATGCAAATCCCTTAAGTACTCATATTTATACTTAGATACACACAGACACACACGCTTATTTATATATGCAAAGATTTATGTTAGAAAAGCTCTCAGAACTTTCTTGAATGTGCACCCCATAATCATTACCTGTGGGAATTTCCTAGTATGAAAAATGGCCATGGTCATTGAATAAATTGCTTGCTACATCTTTGTCAGTTTCTAACAAGAAGTATCATTGTACTAAATATCATTATTTAATTTTAATTTATATTTTATCTTTGATTCCTGCATTGGGAGCTAAGCATTCTAAGAGCTGGCAACATCTGTTGCCAACATGATATTTGAAAAGTCCTGGCAGTCAGGTGAAGTCCCTGGAGACTGGAAAAAGGGAAACACTGCACATATTTTTAAAAAAAGATAGCAAGGAGGACCCTGGGAACTACTGACCTGACAGCCTCACCTCTGTGCCTGGGAGATCATGGTACAGATCCTCCTAGAAGCTATGCTAAGGCACAGGGAGGACAGGGAAGTGATTTGAGACAGCCAGCATGGCTTCACC